AAGGACATAGTTCTCGTGCTTCCCCTCACCCATGAATCAGAACTATTGGGTACAGCTGTGAGGGTTCTGCTCTGCATGTGAGCCGAAATCCAGCTTCTGTTTCACTCGCCAGCAGTGCACCGCAGCTGGGGGCTGCAGCCAGAGAGGTGTCTTTGTGCTAATTAGCACCAAAATGGCTGGCCAGTCACCAGCTCTGCACCTTAAGTCTCTGACAGAGAAGTAGGAACTATCTGATAAGGTGGGAATCCTGGCTTAATTAGAGGCAACAAGTGGCAGGCTGAGGCTCTAACCTCTGCCATCTGGCATCCTCAGGAACAGGCTTTGTGGACTGCAGTGCTCTTAGGAGCTGATGCCCAGCTGGCCCCTGAAATAATCTGCTGTCATTTCATGTGCTAAAGGGACACTCTGGACCCTGTGAAGGAGAGAATTAAAATGAAGCCACGTGAAGAGGTTTTAGAAAATGAGAAATATGTGGCTCTTAGGCTGAGCCCCTTTGAAGAGCTGAATATGGATACACTATCATAGATGGAAATCTTTTACAAATACACTTTCCTGCCTCCTTAAGCAGATTATCACTGGGCCTAACTAAACAGCTTCTTGGCTCTTCCTGGATTTGCACAACGGCTGTGGTCCTTCAGAGCCCATCGAGGTGGGTGACCTTTAGACCACTGTGCTCCGTCGGGTTTCCCCAGTGGCTCCTGTGAGCCTCTCGGGAGCAGCAGCTTTCTGTTAGATGGAGACATGCTGGCGTGAGGACTTTGTGATATGATTTTGGCTGTTCAGAAGTTGTATGTGCTTCCTAGTTCTCAAGTGTATCTTAAAGAAGAGATGGGGCAACTTGGTAGAAAGCAAGCATTTTAAGACCCATTATGATCTGTCCGAATCCTCACTGGGAAACCACGAGCTCCCCGGTCCAGAGCCAACGTGAGCTGTGCAGTCACCAGTTCCAAGACGTGCTTAGGGTAAAGCCACCCTGTGAGAGCCACCTGAGGTCTAGCAAGTCTTTGCTCTCTCCTCTGGCAGTGAAGTCTTGCCCGTCATAGGACTGAACTAAGTGTAATACTCATAGGGAGCTTTAAGAATTGAGCAAAGTTCTTGCTCTTAAAAAGTACCTGAGGATTTTATAAAGACTGTGACTGAAGAGAAGAAAAGGCATTCTTACCCGAGCCCTCGATGGCAGTATTTCCTTCGGAACTGAAATACATTCTGGACAACTTTTTCCACCAGCTTGAACGGCTGCTCTATCTTGGGCTGTATCAAGGGAGTGAAGTGCACCACACCCACGTCTACCTGTGTTGTAAGCAAACATATTACCATTTTGTGGCATGATATGTGGCACAGCATGATCAATCAACTCATCCTGGTAAAACAGGAGCTGTGGATACACTGTTTTCATAAACAGACCTTTCCATGTGCTTCAGTTTCATCTCTAGGCATGGAAGATGGTGCATTCTGGATTTGCAAATGACACGGAGACATCAGTTGGCTGCACCTGTTCTGTAATGACATCCACCAGACCTGTGCTTGAAGGTCACTTAATTTTAAAATGCAGTCTTACAATGGTTTCAAAGTCGATCCAAAGCAGGAAAGTCAGTCGGCAGATAATAGGTGGCAGTAGGCTATTTTAGTTAGCTTTTGAATGAGTAAAAAACTAAGCTGCAGCAGTAGCTTCAAGACACAGAGAGATGGCAGACAGGCCCCCAGGGACCACTCAGCGCTACACTTCCTGGATAGAGACCACTTATTTTCAGTAGACACTGATTAATCAGCTGGACTGAATTCATGAGTGCAGTCTGAAAAGCCATATAACTTTCTGGTAGCAACTTTAAATACCCCAAAAGGCACAGGCAGGATTGAAATTGAAAATGGAAACCACCCAAAAATGTCACTGTTTGATAGTGTTTAAGCTACTGCCAGCTGTGGAGATTCTTTAATTGTCAAAAGATAAAACTTTTCAGGCATATCTGATACGAGATTTATACCCTAACTTCTTCCAAAAATGGACTCATGGTGATTCACAAGGACACATTCAAATCCCAAAGGAAAAACACTTAAAAGACGGAGAGAAACAGAGTCAAAACGGTACACGCACAAAAATGCTGATGAGACCACGGTCTAGGAAATGGGAAGTCTTGTCATAATTGACAAAAGCCTCAGTCTCCAGGAATTGTTAAACTTGTTAATGAGGATCTCATACAGACTCAACAAAGGCAAAGAAAGTACGGCAATTTAGGAGGTGTGGACCGCACAACTGCTTTGCAAAAGGAAGTCTACTGTTTAAATCTCATAGAGGTTGTCATTTTCTCTTAAGAGGACTTGCTTCTAAAGATCTTGCGGTTGGCCGGGCGCACTGGCTCACACCGTAATCCTAGCACTTTGGGAGGCCAGGGTGGGTAGACTGCCTGAGCTCAGGAGTTTGAGACCAGCCTGGGCAACATGGCAAAACCTCATCTTATTAATATATTTAAAAAAAAATAATAAATAAAAGACCCCTGTGGCCACATAATTCCTTCAAAAGATGAAGATGGGAGAGTGGCTTTTCTGGTTGTCTTTCTTTTAGGGCAGAAGGAAAACAACTGCATATGATGTGAGACTTTATGGACAAGAAGATGAAAATAAAAGCTGTGCTCAGCCTCAGGCAGCCTGACGCACTGTGGTAGGAGCCTGTGGTGCCTGAGCTGTGTCATCAAGGCCCAGACCCCACAGACCTTGTACCTCTCTATTTAAATGATCAATGAGCCTGTCTCCAAAGGTTTCAGGTCAGCTACAGCTGCGCATACTAGATAGAACGGGAAACAGGCTTTGGTGGTAAGGGGCGGTGTGGGTTGGCACATGCTGAGAATGTGCCAAGCAGCCTTTCCACACTCCAAATGCCTGCCCCCCACATCCATCAGCCTTCAGACTGATGTGAAGATCCTATGATGGAAAAGTAGTTATGAACAGTGACTTAAATAAGATGTCAAACACTCTTAATAAGTTTTATAAAGTTTTCAAATTGTGTGCTATATGTTGTATCTGTTTCCTCAAGTTTAGTAACAGCTATTTCCTTCTACAGGACTTTCTGAGAACTTAACAAAACACACCGTGGACAGTGTCCAGTTTGGAGAGATCAGAGGGACTGAAGACGATGAGGGAGGGTGAAGTGGACGCAGGGTTTAGGTGGGGCGGGAGGACTGCTGCAGGGAGAGAAGAAAGGTGGTTTCAGCTCAGGGCAGTTCTGGGGAAGGAAAAAGAACTGATTTATGAATGGTGGAGCGGAGGCAGCGGCCCAAGACACACTCCAGTGACTTCAGACGTCAGGTTCCTTTCCACCAAGGCTGAACTAGCCCGCCTACCTTGCCTCCTCCTGATTTGCACAGAGAAGTGGCCCCAACTGTCAGGCAGGTGTCTGACCACTCTCTAGACCTCACCGGCGTTCTCGCCGTGGACTCTCCCGTCCCCTCTCACCCCGAGCTCCCTGGCGCCCTCGTCTCTGCCTCCCATTCTCCAGAACTCATCTCCTGTTAACCCTTCAACTTGTTCCCCCAGTGACACAGGCAATTCCAGCAATTCTTCCTAGCAGCCTGCTAGTCTTCAGAGAAAACAAGCTTAGCAAAATCTGAGATGGAATCTCATCCCTGCCTAGGTCTAAAGTCATGAAATATTATAAAAACTCTACATAATGTTTAAATACTATTAAGACTAAAAACACAAATACAGAGAAAGATGCACTGTCCTTCCAGTACAGAAACTGCCACTTCCAGCTTCCTTAGATTTTAAATTTTGGCCTCATCTTTATTTGCCTGATTTTATTCCTTTGAGAATAGTGGGTATTTGCAAATACAGGAAATGTCTAACTTTTACTTAATTTAAATAAAGTTTTAAAACCCCGAACAAATACAGCAGTACCCTATGTAAACTGTAGCAGTAGACTGCTAAAGTTTGAATAGAATTCCAATACCCTGTTAAGCTGGCTTACATTATGTCACTGCTGAAAGAGAACTCCCCTCAGAAATACAGCTACTATCTGGTGAAGGATTCTGTAATACTCAGTGTCGACAAAGCTCTTCCAGTTATGTCTCCTGCTTATGGGACAGCGAAGACCTCTCCTGTACCCCTTGCCCTCCCTTTCCCCCAAAGGCACCTTTCAGAATTACTCTGAATGATGGATCCCATTTTCTCTAGAACCACAGGAAAGCTGCTTGGTAACTATGGTAACGAACAAAAAAAATGCTTTTTACTTATATTTGAATGCTTCTTTAAAATTGCAACTATTATTTTTTCTTCCTTGAGTTTTATGTCTATTAATGGGTTTGATTACAAAAAAGAAATCAGTACAAAGGCATTAGAAGTACTTAAAATATTCTAGTTTAATGCTGCCAGCCCTTTTCTAAACTCAGTCTGTCAATATACCAAAATGACCTACTAAAATTTCAAATGAAAGGATTTAAAATGAATTTAAATATTTGCCTTTCTAACCTTATATGTCAATGCTGTAACGAGCTAAGCCTGTTTCTCAGTGTTAGCAGCCTTGGCCATAACAGGCGAGAAGCAGATGTTCTGGTTTCCAAGCCAGGGTTATCTAGGACGGGACTAGTTATCAGCTCAGAGCAGCAACTGGAACTCACAAGGGACCTTGGCTAAGGAGATATTAAACCTTAAATCTTAGATATTAGATATTACAACTGAGAACTGCAATCAACATGATATAGGGAGGACACTGAACAATGTACAACTCCGTTCCTGATGATTATCATGTGCCCAAAAACGAAGTCACAACCACATGCACAGACACAGAAACAATACTGGCCACTGTCTACAAAAGGGTCTTCATTCAACACTTCCATGGTGTTCAAGACCATTAGAGGACAAGAGAGTGGAGGGGAAAAATGGTGAGGAAGTTACTACTGGATCAGCCAAGAGACAGCCGTAACTTGGAGACAATGGAAAGGCTAGTGAAAAAAGAAGCAGTATAGGGAATAATCAGTAAGACTTTAAACAACAACATATAAGAAGGATTCAAAGTTCAAAGTGGGACGATCATGGACAGACCTGAGTGTGGGGAACAGAAAGAATATGGCATCTTGCAGGCTACAGTCACCAAAAGATGGAACATAGGAGGACAGGGGCCTGGGAGAGTCACTTCAGTGTCGGGTAAACAACAGAGCAAGGCAAGTGTCCCGGATGCTTGGTTTCCCACCCACCAGTGTCCGCTTACTCAAGTCCCTCCACCAAGCTAGTAAGAGTCCACATTAGAACCTCACAGGCCTCCAGGTTACAGCTTTCCCAGTAAGGATAATCCCAGGCAGAGGCAGCAAGTCACTGATGCCTATGATATGATAATGATGCATGTCACAGAAGAACAAAATAGTAGATCATATTTCCTAGAATTGGTTTACTCTACCTGTGATCCATGTTTTCAGGAAAGAATTTCCACTGTAAAACCAGGAAAGAATTTCCACTGTAAAACCAGGAAAGAATTTCCACTGTAAAACTTAAAGGCTGACAGCATTCTAAGTATTTCAAACTAACTGATTCAACAAAGATCGACTACATGGTCAGTACCTATCTTAAAACTGTACAATCTGTGTTTCTGCAACAATATCAATTTCTGCAGAAGTTCTGCCCTCACCCTTTTTTCTTCCTACAGATCTTTGGCTTTTTCTCTTTCCTTTTTTAGGAAAAAAGGAACAGATTTTCTACAGTCACATAGTGTTTCCTCTCAGAGCAGATGTGGTAGGAAGAACTAAGGCCAAGAGAATGACAGGGAGCTCAGATCACAATGAGAAATAAGACTAAGAAATGTGGTGAGGGGGATGAAGAGTTTTTTTTTTTTACCGTGTAAATTATGTATGTAAATGTAAATATGTATGTATGTAAATTATACCGATTAGTAATAACAACAAGATGAGTCAGTGTCTCTTGGTCCCAAGAGATGAAACAATTTCAGGGAGATGCACGTGCAATCCTTAAGAAAGCACAAACGGAACAAGAACTGACAACTATTGTATAAAGATTTTCTGTTATATTCCATCTGAAGTTCTCGAATGATCATAGGAAAAAGACCTTCCTAAAACCAAGCCTTTTCCACAAACCATGACCTTGGCACCCGTGAAGCAGCAGCATCCGGAGGTGCCCTGTGTTTCTTGTCCCAGGCTATGCTCCTGCTTGGTTTGTGGATGTGGCAGGAGTTGCCTGAGGCAGCTTCGAGGCTGCCCTGCCTGGCCATGGTGTGGCAGCACATCGCCAACTGCCAGGGTCTGGCCCCAGCACTGCAGGTTCAGAGCAACTCCAGCCCTTCAGGGCGAACCCAGTACCTCAGAGAGGCTCGCAATCTAAACAAACTCACAGGCACTTGATATATGCTGGGGCTCTTAATATTAGTAAAAGACTGAGAAATAAACATGCATACAAATACAGTAATTCATAAAAAACCATAATTGTCAAACGGAGTAGACATCACACTGAAGATGTTTGGTCAGCACATTCGTTCAGAGCTGATACTGTTCATTTCCTAAGGCTGGGTCAGAAGAAAAACATTGTTTTAGGATTAGGTCAAATCACTTTAAATTTGTGGGGCTGGAACAGGTAGCTATTTTATCTTACTCTGAACTATCATTATTTTCAAGGTTGAATGGAAAGCAAACAAGAAAAAACATTTGTATTAGTCAGGGTTCCCTAGAGGGACAGAACTAATGGATATATATAGAGTTTATTAAGTATTAACTCACACGATCACAAGGTCCCAAAATAGGCCGTCTGCAGGCTGAGGAGCAAGGAGAGCCAGTCCAGGTTTCAAAACTGAAGAACTTGGAGTCCGATATTCAAGGGCAGAAAGCATCCAGCACAGGAGAAAGATGTAGGCTGGGAGGCTAGACCAGTCTCTCTCTTCACATTTTTCTGCCTGCTTATATTCTAGCCGAGCTGGCAACTGATTAGATTGTGCCCGCCCAGATTAACGGTGGGTCTGCCTTTCCCAGTCCACTGACTCAAATGTTAATCTCCTTTGGCAATACCCTGACAGACATACCCAGGATCAATACTTTGTATCCTTCAACCCAATCAATCTGACACTCACTAGTAACCATTACAACATTGTTGGTTTTTAAATTCAGAACCCCAACTTTTCATTAGAATTAAGTGAACAGCATTTGAAAAATACAAGGATGGGGCTCCATCCCAGAAAATTAAGTAAGCGCCACTAGGTTGGGCCTGAGCTTGGTCCTCTGGGCTTTTCCAAAGCCTTCATGTGGACAGAAGTGAGAATCACAGGTTTAGGGAACAATCCCAGTTGCTTGGGAAAGTTATCACACAGTCAACTCAGATCCTGGAGATTAAATTCACTAGAAGTGTAGCTAGAGCCCTGTGATACCACCAAAGCCAGCACGAGTCCATGCTGGGTACAGCTCAAGGATGAAAACCAGACACAAACTTCCCCAGTCTCGTTCACAGTTAAGAATGATCAAATGAGCCAGTTCTGGAAAATGAGACATTAGAGCAAACTCTGGGGTGGCAGTGGGAGAGGGAAAGAGAATTCTAGAATACTTTGCTGTTTTTGTGTTTTTTTTTTTCTGAGACAGAGTCTCACTTATGTCCAGGCTGGAGTGCAGTGGCATGATCTTGGCTCACTGCAACCTCCACCTCCTGGGTTCAAGTGATTCTCGTGTCTCAGCCTCCAAAGTAGCTGTGACTACAGGCGGGTGGCACCATGCCTGGCCAATTTTTGTATTTTTAGTAGAGTCGGGGCTTCATCATGTGGGCCAGACTGGTCTCAAACATCTGGCCTCATGTGATCCATCTGCCTTGGCCTTCAAAAGTGTTGGGATTACAGGCGTGAGCCACTGTGCCTGGCCATAGAACATGTTGCTTCTTGATGAAAGGGTCAGCTGGGGCAGCCATCTCATAGTTGTTGGAAGTAAAAATAAAACATAGAGACAAATCTCCAAATTCAATATTTTATTTGGGAAGCAAGATTTGTAATTCAGGGCCTACATACATTCCTGGTGGTTTTCAGTATGTCCAAAGACCAAAGAGAAGGTTGGGAGTTTTATTAGTAAGAGAAATGTTATGTGTTGTTTTGAAAGAAAGTTCACTGGCACTTTTGTGAGCAAGCTCTGATTGGTGAGTGACGACAGAGGGTAAAACCAGTCTTAGAGTCCCAGTAGGTGGTCCCAGCAGCTACTAGGTAAAACTGGTCTTGATGTTACAGCAGGCCGTTTCAACAGCTAGGCTTATGGAACATGTACATTTTGGAGTAGGTGCTATGAGCCCTGAGTGCTTTTTCCTCCTGGTCCCTTGACTCTGATTTAGTTGGGTAAGACAAGAATAATCAAATTTGTATAATCAACTTTCACACAGCCAAGAAAAGCTCAGTTTGAAGGAATAGAAAAAAACAGAATGAGCTGGAACCCTTAAGAAGAGTTTTAAATTGCAGAATTAACCTTGAACAGTACTGACTCCCAAACAGTGAGTCCTTATAGTTTAGTCTACTGTTAGAGTTTCTATAATTTGTCCACTGAAACATTCTAAACCAATATAAGCCCAAAGCATCTTCTACAAATTTCTTTTCAAAATGTAGACAGGAAATTCTGGGTTCTTTTTCAAGACCAAAGATGCCCTAAACTACATTATATATATTTAATTATATTTCCAGAATTTATGAACACCCTTTATCTTGAATCCATTTCCTATGCAATATCTCTACTCATCTAGTTAGTTCCATTTAATCGCTTCCATGACCACAGCCTCCCAGAGTCTGTCTGTCTCCAATTTTGATCTCTTTAAATCCTCCACACCATAGCTAAGTGCTCTGTAAACCACAAATTCCACCACAAAAAACCACTGTGATGGCTCACAATGCCTCTAGTGGTGGCCTTAAAACTCTTTACTGAAGAAAATGTCAGCCACTAAAGTGTTTCCCCACAACCCCAATGATCCCCAGGATTCTTTTATTAGGGTAGAGGAAATAAGGTCTCTCTCATAAGCCTGTTACTGGGATTCAGTGATGAGAAGATGGAGTGCAATGCTTTATAAACTGTTAAGCTCTAATAGGAAGGTGTGGTATTGTTATTTCCAAAATACTCAGTAAATTACTGATTCTTTCAGAAAGAAAATAAAAGCCTGCCTGAACATCCAGATTAACATCACTAAGCAACACCACATACTAAGGGAAGCAAAAGTAACTTCTGCTTAAAGATAAATGAAAACATTCTAAAGAAGTAAGCAGATGGGACTGCAGTCACTCAACCCACAATGGACTTTGCAGGACTGAGAAGTAAACGCTGATATGTAAAGCTACAGAGATTTCTGGGTTAATTTGTTTCCACAGCTTATAGACTATCACAGAGGGGTAAGACTTACAAATGCACTCTTTCTAACTGGAGGTGGGGCGGTGCTATGTAGTATGTCAGAGTTTCAAAAATCACTGCTCTGGGCCTCAATCCCATTCCTGCAATTTACTCACTTTACAGCCTTAGTCAAAAGTTACTTCTCTGTAGCTTAGTTTTTTTTTTTTTTTTTTTTTTTTTTGAGGTAGAGTCTTGCTTTGTCGTCCAGGCTGGAGTGCAGTAGCGCGATCTCGGCTGACTGCAGCTTTCGTCCCCAGGTTCAAGCGATTCTCTGGTCTCAGCCTCCCCAGTAGCTGGGCCTACTGGTATGCCACCACACCCAGCTAATTTTTGTATTTTCAGGAGAGACAAGGTTTCACTGTGTTGGCTAGGTTGGTCTTGAATTCCCGACCTCAGGAGACCCACTCACCTCAACATCCCAAAGTGTTGGGATTACAGGCATGAGGCACTGTGCCCAGCCAGTTTTCTTATCTATAAAATGAAGATTCCTTTTGTCTCATAGGTTTGTCTTGAGAATTAAGTATTATAGCACTTTAAACAGTACCTAGCATATAGAAAGCAGGTTATAAGTGGTAGATATTATCATCAGCAAGATGACAAAACTCGAGTTGCAAAATTACTTAAAAACTCTAGTCCTATTTAGAAATAAAATTATATTTTTAATCATTCAAGTGCAATCTATAGTTTAATTAACATTATATACTTAAAGTCAGTTTCCGAATTCATTCATTGAGCAGATACTTTCTGCACCTCTACTATGTGCTAGGCACTGCTTCCGGCACCGGGGGAATCAGTGACGAACGAACTTCTCTGACAGAAATACAACTTGGTTCAGGGGAGAAGCCCAGGCAAGAGATTTCAGCTGAGGGGCCATAAGATTTATCTGTGAGAGTCTCTGGACTTCAAAGATTAATATCCCTTTAATATCCACAGCAGGAATAG